TATATATATATATATATATATATACACACACACACACACACACATACATACACACACATTAAAGCATTTGATAAAAGCTCTTAAATTTTTTTAATGCATAAAGTACTGTTTATTGATGCATATTACTTAAAATTCAAAATTACAAGTAAATTGTGCGTAAGTATAACTTATTAAAGCTTTATGTTTGAATTCGTGTAATTAACTGCAGATAAACATAATCAAATAGAAGATAAACATCTCATTTTTAATATAAAAAATCTAAAATATAATTAGGATAATCATTGAGTCCTAATAAAATACTTAATTATTATCTTTATGAAAAATTCTATTATTAAACCAAAAAAATGAATTATTTAAATACACACAAAAAATAGAAATTTTAAATAGTTAATTTGGTCACAATATTAATATTTCTTTTTCAGTTTTTATGATATATCTTCATATTTATATTTTATTCAAAAATAAAAACATCATCGCTTTCTCAAAATTACATAAAACCGTAGTATAACATCGATCGAGACAACAAAAAAAGTAAAAAGAAATATCAAAATCGATATGTATCTTGCTGCATTATTGCGAGTATCATTCTAATATATCAGACGTAGGCGATATAGACCCTTACATATTGCTAAATGTACCTCACTATTTCCATTTTCAGTATATGATTTGATTTTATTCTGATTTAAACAAAGATGCATATAATAATAAGTAGGGTTGAGTTCCCTGTGAATGTAAAAAAAAATCGAACGTTCATAACAAAACACTGTAAATGTTACCTTCATAATGTTTTATTATAAAGTTTTAAATATAAAACAATGGTTTTACAGATTTCGCAAAAACATATTGGTCTCAGATGATTCTAAATCATAATAAAATTGGATTTGTATGAATGTATGGTAGGATGAGAAGTCCAAGTTTGAAACCAACGGTCCATATGAATGCAAACCATCTACGACTTTAACTCTTCTTCAACAAGCAAACAAACACGCAACCCACACCACAAAAACCAGCCCCCACCTCCAAATTACAAAACAATCCCCATCTTTTATAATCTCCTCCATTCACATCTTCCACACCAAAATCATTAAATCTATAGTATATTTAAAAACTCTTAAAAACTATTTTTTTTATGTATGAAGTATTGTTTATTAATATACTAGAAGCGTACTCGCGCAATGCAGCAAGATATATCATGATTTTAATATTTCATTTTATTTTTTATCTCAGTCGATGTTATAATATGGTTTTATG